CTCAGAGTCACATCTTCATCATCTATAATGGATCTCAAACAGTTCACTCAGGGGCAGACAATGAATGTACAAACCATGGGCCTAAAGAGGCAATAAAGGATAAAAACACACACAAACTCTCGAGCAGATCTCCATCATTACCTCATTTCTGGTAAAGAGGAGAGGTACTTTTATCACCGGCCTCAGAACTACATGCAAGTATTCCACTAGGATGGCTGGAAATAGAGGATAAACATACATGGAGTTAGTCATTGTAAAAACATTTTGAATTCTCAAACAGATATGGTGTGAGGAAAAGCTACAAGAAGCCCAGGTTTGAAGAAGAGATGAGCTACCTGCTGAGTAGACCAATGAAACTGGCAGGTTTATCAATGGTCTGCTGTAGCCCAGCTTTTCAAACTGCAAAAGAATAAACGTAAAATAAAGGGAAGTCAGTTTCATTAGCAAATTTAAAGTAAACTGTAAATATCAAATTGAAATTTCATACATCAACAAATTCAATGTTAAGACCACAGGAAGCTAGGGCTGGTTCATTTTGCGGTTGTCCTCCAACCAGAAGGTCGGAAGTTCGATCCCCAGTCTTCCCATCTGCATGCCAAAGGGTCCTTGGGCAAGATGCTGAACCCCAAATTGCCCCATAGAACAACAAAAAGTGCTGCTAATAGATGCACTGTATGTATGAATGTGTGTGTGAATGGGTGAATGGCAAACTGTAGTGTAAAGCACTTTGAGTGGTCATCAAGACTAGAGAAGCGCTGTACAAAAATACAACCATTTACCATTTAAACCTCAATCTTCACTTATAGGAGCAAAAATAAACTAAAAAGAAATAACATTTTATCGTGATAATTACCAATAGCAACTGACATGAAAATTCAATATATTTTTGTCTGCCTAGAGTAATTTTGTAAAACAGCTGATCACTGTAGTTTTGTAGCAATCTTTACTCACAATGCGTGAGTAGCGCTTTTGATGGGGACTACTTTCAGCTGCGGATGAATGCACATTTAGTGTTCCAGTGAGTATTTCCAGGAGCAAGTGATTTGGTGGACAATAAGGAACACACAGAAGATCACTCTCCTCATCCTTTAACTCACCAGAGGTGTCAGCCACTCAAACAGGTTGACTGAGACTCCGTCATTAATGAAATAAGCCTGTCCACTCTGCAGAGGAACAGAAATGAATGAGTCAAAAACAAAGGATCGCATGAAAGTGATTATTGTTGGTCTTGGTTCTTGTGCAAGAAAAAACACCACAACTCATCTTTCACGTGGCGTCATTCACTTAAATATAACATGTTTACAAGTGAGAAAGTGATGAGATGAAAGCATTTAGAAGTAATTCTGAATGGTTTCAAAGTTTTCCGATCACAAGAACGTGTGTTTGTCCTGCGGTGGATGATGTGACTCACAGCAACACAGCTCCTCTTCAGTGTGAGGGCCTCGGCCGCCAGCGTGTGGGCCAGAACCAGGTTGTCGACGTGGACCCAGTTCATCCTGGCCTGCGGGTCCCCGAAGCGGAAACTGAACAACCGACGCTCCACGTTCACCTGAGTGGAAGTGAGAGATGACTGCTGGGCCATGGCGGCGGTATACGCTCTAATCAGTGCCATTCGTGTTGCATCTGATTTGAACCTTTCTGGTAATAAATGTGAGCCAACATTAAAATCTTGCAGTCAATTATAAAGTGTGCTGTGTGTTATATTAATATTGCTGCTGCTATTTCAGTTGTGCAGGAAACAGGTGGTATTCACTACAGCCACACGTAGTCTGGGAGTAAACAGTGTCAGATGGAGACAACAGTTTTTCAGTGTGTGAGTGCTGTGTTTCTTTTATTTTGGCTTAGGTTTTGTCTTTTTCATATTCTTCTTGCAATGCACTCAGCCTTTTCTCTATGTTGATAATTAGGGCTTAGTAAAATATCCAGTCGTAGACATAGATTCTGTCTTTTTTGCACCACCACATGTTGGACTCCCTCAAGTGGCAATTTGTTGTTTGGCTGCCACTATGCAAATATTTGGGATCCAGTATCTTGTCCAGGGAATGAAATCAGGAATTGAAACACAGGCCCTCTGGTATGCGGGCGATCCTCTCTACTACCTGAGCCACAACCACCCACTGTACTACAATAAACTGAAATGAATGGCTCTGTAGATATTCAAACCTATGATGTGAACTGATGAGTATAAACAATCTGTAGTTTTTGGGGCCAAACATATTTGAGCATAGAGTGTTTACACACATATTTGTTCAAATTCAGTCCTCTTAATAAACTCAGAACCTCTGCCACATACAGGAAACACTGGAAAAATTGTGGCTGTAACCAGACGCCCCGAGAGCTCCATCAATAATGTAAACACTTCAGGCTGGACCACATCCTGCCAGGGAGGCTTCAGACACTGACACAAAATGTGTATTTTTTTCCAGCGCCAATGCAACAGGAATTCATCTTTTAATCCTACATACAATAAAGACGTCTTTTGTTTGAGTCCCCCACCATCACTCTGTGGAGATGTCTCCTCTCCTCTGGTCCATAGATGCCACAGGGTCGCAGGACACAGGTCTGCAGCAGCTCACCACCTTCACAGGATAGAAAACAAAACTTKACCAAACGAATATAAAGATTACAAATCTTCTGAAACATGAAGGAATATCATCAGTGAAGTGGTCAGTAAGACAGGCTCAGGTGGTTTCCTCTCTGATGCTGTCAGTTCTTTTCTTTTGTGTATCATGTTCATAAGTGTCCTTCATCAGAGCGAATACCTCCGCCACGGTCCCCATAAATTCAATCCGGCAAAATGTACATGCTCATAGATCAATTCCTTAAATGTGCCTGATTTTTCCGTCAATATCCGTGAATCATTCCATGGGAAATTGGTGAAAACGTCAAGAAAACGTCATATCCTTGTATCCGTCAATTCCTGGATCCACCTTGTCACAGATCCCATCTGAAATCAATGAATTCTTTCTTGTTGTAGTTTATGTGTAAAGCTGCTAACTAACAGACCGACAAGCAGATGTAAACACAACCTATAGTTAATACGTGTATACATGCATCATGGAAGCTGACTGCTAATATAAAAACTCTTTCACATGTTTCACATTCTGCTGATTCACCACACAGGTAACAGACCTGCATTCACATGAACAGATGTAACTTCAGCTAAATGACCATGAAGTGTAAAGTAGATGTTTTTGTGTTATGACATTTTGTAGATCCTTACAACTCATATCATGATGTGTTACATTATCTGATTGTTGTCAAGGGAAATATCAAGTTGGCAGATAAAAAAAAGAAGAACAACAAAAACCAAGAAATAATTCTGAAAGTTGATTTCTAAGTTTTACTTTGTTGAAATATTGCATGTGTGTGTGTGTGTGTGTGTGTGTGTGTGTGTGTGTGTGTGTGTGTGCATGCATGTGTGTGTGTGTGTGTTTCTGTTTGGTCCAGCTCTAAATTTAAACCTGTGTCACTGCTGTAATGGTTTGCACGCTGAGTTTCCATGGTTACCACTGCCTCAGTTTCTCTCCGTCGCTATTTCAAACAAACACAAAAAATGTTTTACTCAGGAAAGAAAAGACAGGGATGGAAGCTCCTCCGATTTGGAATCTGTTCATGTCGTCCTGTCACTACACACACTGATGGTTTCACACCTTTCAGGGAGCTGCCGTTGGCCAAGAGCACCATCTGCTCTGCGGTGGCTTTGGTTCTGGAGTAGTGGTCAATGTGCTGGAACAGAGAGAAACAGTGAATCTTTAAATCAGTGGAGGTGGCATTTAAAATAACCTATTTCATTTTCACCCACCACGTTGGGGGCCACATACGGCACCGAGTCCTCATCACCATCTTCAATTGGCTTCCCAGCAAACACCACGTTGATGGTACTGGTGTACACCAGCCGGGGAATGCTCCTCTCCTTACACACTGAGAGAAAGAAGACCACACTGCACCAACAATTTACACATAATGCTGAAGAAAAATCGAAAAATAATAAAATAAGAAAACTGATTTCAACAAAAAACGATAATTTGACCATTTGACTGTTGAAGCCTCATTATAAGTTCAGATAATTGTTGAAATAGAAGGAGAACTGTGGATTTTGTCGCCCATGATTTACATTGGAATCACGTTATGAGGGGATATTCAGTCTAAATTATGCCCAGAAAGTAGATTTACTGCCGTGCATATGAAGTGACTGGTGTAGTTAATCCTACCATTGATAACATTATTAGTTCCTCCAACGTTGACTGACTCCACCTGCTCTTTCTTCAGCTGGAGACAAAGAGAAAGACAGAGAAATGTCACTTCTCACCCATAATGCGTTCCTCAGCAGTTGTGGGGAGAAAAAACTCCCATTTAACAGGGAGAAGCCTCCGACAGAGCAAAACTCTGTGGGCGGCCATCTGCCTCCACCGGTTGTGGTGAGCGAATGGGGAAAGAATCAGGAACAGTTGTGTCACCGTCAAAGTTTTGAGGAGTACGACCTTGAAGTGAGAAAAGTTGTGTTGAAGCCTCTTGGGCCTTGACCTGCAAAAAAACCTAATCCACTGTCGAGTCAGTGTGGGCCGAAAAGAAAACTACAAGTTTGAAGAAGAGGTAATGTCAAATCTGGAGTTATGGAGTTGGCTCGAAGATGCTTCAGCCGCTCTCTAGAAGTCAGGGGCAAAGTTTGCATTGTGGTTAATGTACAGCAGATAACAGGTTTTCAAAGCGTTGACTATAAAATATTAAAACATAATATATGGACTGACCTAGGAATGTCAGCTTTGGGTTGAGTTCAACAGATTTTGAAGCTTGACGTTCTGGTGTCTGGGTGGTTTCATAGAACTTCTTACAGCAAAGTACATTCTTAAGCTTAAAAACCATCCAAGCAATGACATTTGAATTCTGTACATCAACATTTTGCAGGGCAGAAAGCAGCAGTACTTTATAATTCCATCAAAGAGTCTTTTTCTTTCCTTTTTGTTTCATTGATTTAAAGTAAGAAGATGCTGACAAAGACTTGAGGGGAAGTCACCTGTTCTGCTCCGGACATGCCGTAAGACGCTGTGTGGAATATACAGTCGACACCTTCACACACTTTGTGAAGGGAGGGATAGTCTCTAATGTCACTCTGTAAGAAAGAGAGAAGAAGAATTACCTGCAGTTCATCAACAACAACTCTGCAACTCTGTCTAATGAGCTCCATCCATAAGAGATATTTGTCCAGTGATACAGGAGTAAAAGACTTTGATTTCAATGACATCAGATCTGGTGTTTTCTCAACACAACAGTAGCAGTGGACAGGTTGGGAGCTTTGCAGTTTACATGACGAGAATAACTACCTCATGAAAGGACGGGACAATTAAGGTAAGTGTGCCATGGGGTGAAACCTGAATCATGTCTCCTCCCTCATGTCTCTGTGACTCAGTCAGCAGCTGGCGCTCTGAGTCGGATCACTCACCTGTGTCTGTTTCCAGCCGGAACGCAGACTAACCAGGGAGACACACCAAGACCAGCTGATGCAAGGAAACGCTAGAGTTGATTTTCAAGTCTGTGTGGAACATTCTAAACTATTGTACTGTGTATTTCATGAGACTATTTTCATATTTAAATAAATCTGAGTTGCTTAAAATGTGTGAGTTTTCATCATTTGCAAAGGTAAATATTAGAATATATTCATGAATATGTAGTGGTGTGGAAATAAAAGGGTGAAAAGTGAATTAAATGGAAACATTAATGTCCAATTCAGCCTCACAAACTATGTGACATAATTATAAACTTTGTATTATTCTAATGAAGGGTTTAAAATTGGCTTTTTTGTTCACCAAGTTAATCAAACCATAATTTTAGCATATTGTATCTTATCTTTATATATTGTATCTTATTTTTGAGTATTGTATCATATATCTTATCTTCGAGTATTATATCATATTGTATCATATTTTTGAGTATTGTATCATGTTGTATCATCTATTAGCCTATCATACCATAGTTTGTCATATCTTAATGTATGTTTCATATAGTATCCTACTTTGATTTGACTGTAATGTAGATTTGGCTTGTACAGAATCATTATTGTAGGGTGTCGTTATTGCGGAACATGAAATGCAGTGAAAAAATAGCGATAATCTCCATTTACACTCCCCCATACCTGATAGAAGATGGCTCCATCAGGGACATCACAGGGGGGCTTGTTCATGTCCAGAAGGATCACTGACATCCCCTGGCGGACCAGCTCCCTCCCCAGCCTGAAGCCAAAGTATCCTCCTCCACCTGTCACCAACACCTTCCCCATGGAGACACCCCGGGCCAGCGGCGCCTCCTCTCCCAGCCTGGAGGCCGCACAATCTGGGCTGACACAGTTTGCTGACGTCGCTCCATTTACCCGGTGTCGGATTGCCACGGCCGGACTGGAGATGTTGGCCGGGGTCAGGTGGTTGACCCGAGGCTGGTGGGCGAGGTGGGGAGGGTTGTGCAAGTGGTGTGCGCTGGCCTGCAGGCGGCAGAGGGGGGCGCTATGACTGGAGAGCTGCTTCACCTGGCACAGGGAGCAGCCACTGTCACTCACATTGGGGCCACACAGCTCCATGGAAGACCTGATGGTGGAAGGAGGGAAATATTGATTATTTATTGCTTTAGTGTCATTAAAAGTTGACCTGTGCAGAGCAGCCTCACTTATGTTTTATATTCTGTCTCAGCTCGTTTCAGCTTTTTGTTGAAAATACAGTATGTGATGTTTTCACTGAGGGAAAACTTTCCATTCTTTTTATTCTTATCATTTCATTTAGTCTGGCATATATGGTTTGATAAAATTGTGGATCTCAACAATTATTTAAAACAATTTTCTGTCTCTTATCTTATCATAAATAGCTTTTAACAGCACATTGCTGTTACCAACTACCTGGTGGTCTGATAGGAATGCTCCATCCATAAAACATTTGTATTCTAAAATGCCTTTAACTCAGCTATTCCACAAGGTCATACCATTAGATTCTATTTTTTCTTTCAACTTATTTTCAAAATCCTCACACAGATTTATCCTTTTTATTCCTTTTACCTATTTTAATCTACTCTTTTTAATCTCTTCTTTTGCTAAAGATTGGTTTCAAACTGCGCTCTCTGATTTGAAATCACTGATGTTTTTACATTGAATCTACCTCTGTGTGTGAAACGTGATTTAGGAATAAAACTGCCTTGTGTATATGTCCCTTTATTCGTGACTTGGTAATGGCTGCATATCATGAATCAGTATTCACTCCACAGTGAGGTTGTCAAACTAGTTTCATCATGAGCCACTATGACAACTAAATAAATTGTGCTCTAGCAGCTTCTCTTTTTGTATTTTAAGATAAATGAGCTGAAGGGACCATGAGTGACGAATAAACGATGCAATGATCCGGTCACCATCACCTGTCATATCTGATGTCTACCCACCCTGATGCTCAAATTAAAACTTGAATTAATTTACTTACATTAATATTGTCCTATGGGCCTCTCACGTGCACACCTGTACCGGCAGGCCGGTGGAATAATCCGGTCTGATGGTTCCCTCTGTGCCGGTGGTTCCTCCCGGTGCGTCGCCTCCCTCACCGGCCAATCACCTGCACGCTCACCTGAGCACCGTAATGTGTGGACGCAGCGCGCAGCTCCTCTTTGGGCAGCTCTTCGACAAACCCTATATACCTACTTACTGCATCTCATTTCTTATCATCTCGGGCCAAGTTGATCCTGCTTTTGTACTTGCTGCTTTCAGCCAGTCACGGGCCAAGCTGGTCATTAAACCGATTTGCAATTATTCAAAAACTTTGACTCTACAGTCAGCTCAGACATTAACTATGAAGTAACAGATGTGTCTTTGGCAGGACACCGGGCAGGAGAACAGTAGCACTCACTTGCTCAGTGTTTTTGGGAGAAGACTGAAATAGACGCTTCATGTTTTATTAAGCTGACAGCAGACAGACTGGCAAACCCGAGCCCACACTTAAATGCACTGCTCTTAATTAGGGGGAGGGGGGGTTGAACACCTGCCAAATGACTGACCTGTCGCATATAAAAGCAATAAAAGTGCACTTAAGTAAAAAATGTATTCCCCTCTTTTACCAGACAAGTATGTGATGTGCTTTTTCACTTCAGTTTGCAATTATACCTGTTTGGCTATTAATTATAAATTGTTTTCTAGAACCTTGTGTCTCTTTTTTGTACTTTTGGAAGACACATATCCTCCATACCTGTGGAGAGGCATCACATTTAGTTACCAATTTAATCCCTCAAAAGTTAAACCATTCATTTAGTATACAAAGTGTTCTTGAAGAAAATTTATAAAAAAGAAAACTAAAATGTTTTGGATGGCTGGTGCCATGTCTTTTAACCATTTAACCTATGCTAACGCTAAACATGTTATGTAACACACTTCAAAATCAATTACAGATTCCTGATTACGCAGATCAAGGTGAACAATGTTCATCTCCAAACTTCAGGGAACTGGGATTCTGCAGCAAAAGTCATCATGAAAAGGAGACTTTAACCAATTTAGCATCCATCATCTGTCCATCTATTCATTATCATATCAGTATGAGAATTAAAGTTAATCTTTGTCAATTGAGTGAGAGCAGGTAGACACTAATCCCTTTAGGGAGTTGCAAGCCAACAAGTTAGGGAGGCACTGCTTTCTGTGACGTCTGTAGGTGGAGGAACACGTTCAATTTCTGGTTGCGTGTTGTAGCTACACCCAAACTCATCACAGAACATGACACACTTCTACTCCACCACAGTTTAAAGGGAAATGTTTGTGTACCACAAAAAGTAGATAGTATTCGTTTCTTAATTTTGTAAATTTAAAAAAGAGGGAGAAGTGTCCAAACAGCCCAAACCTCCAACTTATTAAATATAAATTTGGCAAAAGAAAATAAATCAAATAGAGAGCAGCATATCATGAAATTTGAATGGCTAGAAACATAAATTATTTGGTGGTTGGCATTAAAAACCACATTCTCTGTCAGTGGGTTTATAGATTACTCCTCCAACTATTTCAGCTTTAACATTACTGTTAAAGTTTATACTGAGTCTTATCATTTGAGACAAAAGCACCATATTTTGTATGACTAAAAACTAGGAGAAGTAACTAAAAAACTCAAATAAAATACCAGCAATGATAAAAGAAAAGAAAAGTTGTGTGTCCGTCGACTAATCACTTAATGGAATAATGGTTTCAGCTTTTTTTGATTGAAGCTAAAATCCTTATTGGCCCCTGGAAGATCCACACACATACTTTCCACACACACTATAATAATATAATTTACACAACCAGCTGTTTTTAACCGGATCAGTCCTGACCTGCTGCCGTCTTTCCTCTGCTACTCATGTGTTATTTCAGCACTGGCTGTGATAAAAGGGTCGAGTTACTCTCTGATTAAATGCAGCCCCAGCACACCCATCAATCACTTTCATCAAGGAGCCATCACCTCGCCTAACCTGCTGCAGCGGTGAGGAGAAGGAGGAGAGCTGCGGTAGGGCCAGACCTCCCTTGTCAATGACCTTGCCAGTCCCCCCCCCCCCCCCCCCCC